AATGTTATCATTGGGTGAATATTTGAAAACTGCAGTGGATTGCGTAGTTTCGAAAGTTTATGTTGACAATTCATTGAGTGAATATTTTAAAACTACAATGGACTGCGTAGTTTCGAAAGCTTATGTTGCGAAAAGCAGCTAGATTGAAGAACAAGCGATTTTCTCTTTTCCTTTTTTGTCTGTTTGTAATTTTTTGTTACTATTGTTGTTCTGCATTTTCAGGCGAGTAGGGGCATGTTTCAGGGGCGAGCCAGGCGTAAATCACGTGCTAGAAAAAAAACGAAATATACGTATAGAAATGAAGGTCCAACAATTTGAGGCATTCATTCATAACGACTATTCACAGTTTTAAAAAAGGGAGTAAGAGCTCTTTATAAAAATTGCAGGGAATGTTTGAGAGAGAATCATCTACTTATCAGTCCAACTTCTGCAACTGGATATTCCCCATATGCTTACACAACCCTAATGTCCACGCCGCAACTTCCGTCAGTCCAACTGTGTTTAGTATATGTGGGTTACTTGTGAGAAATATTATGGTATAGATGTCGTTTAGGGGGGAAGGAAGGGGGGGGGGTGTGCACGTAAAAACGAATGAGAGGTATCTTTCTTTTGAATCCAACTTGAAATAATGTTACACTGTACTCCGTTTGTGCTTGCATGCATGTACTCCATGTGTTGACATGCATGTGTATGTCAATGCGGTACTCGGTGTGTGCTCGCATGCATGGAATATGTTTAATGCGCGAGTATTCATGATGACTTGGCAAGAACATGATGATAACTAGTTGGCAAGAGTTTGCAAAACTTTGACCTCTATAGGTGACAGTTTGACGGTTAAGAAGGTTTGAGTGGACCTGATCATCCAAATCGTAGAATGATGAAAAATATCTATATTTTCATATGAACTAAATATTACAACACTGATTATTCGTTGTCCTGATGCATTGTTCGAATCAAGCGCATAACTTGCCTGTGTGAGAATTGAGAAAAATTTACCTTTAACTTGTGATGAAAGGATTAAATTATGACACGCAGCAAACACTTTGAATATCTCCGTTTAAACAGACCCCTGATGATACAATGCTTGCTTACTGCTTCCTGTTTAAGTCAACTTACCAACTGGCTCAAATCTTTTATTGACTCTAGCTCCATGCGGTAGGTTTTAATGTGTAATTAAGTGGAGTAGTTTTTCCTTATCCAGTTCTACGTCACGAAATAAACCTTTCCTCATTCTAACACTTTGAGGTCTGTTTTGTCCATGTCAAACCAAAATCTCTTCTAATTACAACCTTGGGATCTATGAATAAATACCTCAAAGACTGTTTTTTTTTCATCAAGAATTCCCTTTAGTGGTCTGATTCTTGTCATAATATTTTCCTTTATTTTCATTGATGGCGCTTATCCAATCGCAATCGGTTTGTGCTTCTTGACAACTACAGGTTAGGGCACGAAACTAAACTAAATTTAGACGCACAGAAGGTTATAAAGGCCAACAAATAGCCTTAGACACTCAATCACATTTGCATTAATCCTGCACGCAACCGAAGTTTTATACTTTCTTCTACTTCCTCGAGCGGAATGAAGTCCTTTCACTTCCTTTTGCTCCTTGCCTTGGTTGAAACCTCTCCTGTTCCTGAACTAACATCGGTGAGTTTATATAAGCACATTGCACATAAAACAGTTTTGTTACTCAGTCATACGTTCGTGTTCATGTTGTCAATAAATAAACGCCGTGGCCTCACTAGCAGCTGACTCGACTCTATACGATTCAGTTGCAGTGAGCAGTTTAGCGATTTGAAGCTCAGACAGGGTTCCTAATGTTATCATTGGGTGAATATTTGAAAACTGCAGTGGATTGCGTAGTTTCGAAAGTTTATGTTGACAATTCATGGGGTGAATATTTTAAAACTACAATGGACTGCGTAGTTTCGAAAGCTTATGTTGCGAAATGCAGCTAGATTGAAGAACAAGCGATTTTCTCTTTTCCTTTTTTGTCTGTTTGTAATTTTTTGTTACTATTGTTGTTCTGCATTTTCAGGCGAGTAGGGGCATGTTTAAGGGGCGAGCCAGGCGTAAATCACGTGCTAGAAAAAAAACTAAATATACGCATAGAAATGAAGGTCTAACAATTTGAGGCATTCATTCATAACGACTATTCACAGTTTTAAAAAAGGGAGTAAGAGCTCTTTATAAAAATTGCAGGGAATGTTTGAGAGAGAATCATCTACTTATCAGTCCAACTTCTGCAACTGGATATTCCCCATATGCTTACACAACCCTAATGTCCACGCCGCAACTTCCGTCAGTCCAACTGTGTTTAGTATATGTGGGTTACTTGTGAGAAATATTATGGTATAGATGTCGTTTAGGGGGGGAGGGGGGTGCACGTAAAAACGAATGAGAGGTATCTTTCTTTTGAATCCAACTTGAAATAATGTTACACTGTACTCCGTTTGTGCTTGCATGCATGTACTCCATGTGTTGACATGCATGTGTATGTCAATGCGGTACTCGGTGTGTGCTCGCATGCATGGAATATGTTTAATGCGCGAGTATTCATGATGACTTGGCAAGAACATGATGATAACTAGTTGGCAAGAGTTTGCAAAACTTTGACCTCTATAGGTGACAGTTTGACGGTTAAGAAGGTTTGAGTGGACCTGATCATCCAAATCGTAGAATGATGAAAAATATCTATATTTTCATATGAACTAAATATTACAACACTGATTATTCGTTGTCCTGATGCATTGTTCGAATCAAGCGCATAACTTGCCTGTGTGAGAATTGTGGAAAATTTACCTTTAACTTGTGATGAAAGGATTAAATTATGACACGCAGCAAACACTTTGAATATCTCTGTTTAAACAGACCCCTGATGATACAATGCTTGCTTACTGCTTCCTGTTTTAGTCAACTTACCAACTGGCTCAAATCTTTTATTGACTCTAGCTCCATGCGGTAGGTTTTAATGTGTAATTAAGTGGAGTAGTTTTTCCTTATCCAGTTCTACGTCACGAAATAAACCTTTCCTCATTCTAACACTTTGAGGTCTGTTTTGTCCATGTCAAACCAAAATCTCTCCTAATTACAACCTTGGGATCTATGAATAAATACCTTAAAGACTGTTTTTTTTTTTCATCAAGAATTCCCTTTAGTGGTCTGATTCTTGTCATAATATTTTCCTTTATTTTCATTGATGGCGCTTATCCAATCACAATCGGTTTGTGCTTCTTGACAACTACAGGTTAGGGCACGAAACTAAACTAAATTTAGACGCACAGAAGGTTATAAAGGCCAACAAATAGCCTTAGACACTCAATCGCATTTGCATTAATCCTGCACGCAATCGAAGTTTTATACTTTTTCCACTTCCTCGAGCGGAATGAAGTCCTTTCATTTCCTTTTGCTCCTTGCCTTGGTCGAAACCTTCCCTGTTCCTGAATTAACATCGGTGAGTTTATATAAGCACATTGCACATAAAACAGTTTTGTTATTGTCATACGTTCGTGTTCATGTTGCCAATAGATAAACGTAGTGGCCTCATTAGCAGCTGACTCGACTCTATACGATTCAGTTGCAGTGAGCAGTTTAACGATTTGAAGCTCAGACAGGGTTCCTAATGTTATCATTGGGTGAATAGTTGAAAACTGCAGTGGATTGCGTAGTTTCGAAAGTTTATGTTGACAATTCATGGGGTGAATATTTTAAAACTACAATGGACTGCGTAGTTTCGAAAGCTTATGTTGCGAAAAGCAGCTAGATTGAAGAACAAGCGATTTTCTCTTTTCCTTTTTTGTCTGTTTGTCATTTTTGTTGTTGCTATTGTTGTTCTGCGTTTTCAGGCGGGTGGGGGCATGTTTCAGGGGCGAACCAGGCGTAAATCACGTGCTTGAAAAAAAACGAAATATACGCATTACAATGAAGGTCCAACAATTTGAGACATTCATTTATAACGACTATTCACAGTTTTGAAAAAAGGAGTAAGAGCTCTTTATAAAAATTGCTTACATTTTAAGTCAACTTACCAACTGTTTTAATTCCTTTATTGACTCTAGCTCCATGCGATAGGTTTTAATGTGTAATTAAGTGGAGTAGTTTTTCCTTATCCAGTTCTACCTCACGAAAGAAACCTTTCTTCATTCTAACACTTTGAGGTCTGTTTTGTCCATGTCAAACCAAAATCTCTCCTAATTACAACCTTGGGATCTATGAATAAATACCTTAAAGACTGTTTTTTTTTTTCATCAAGAATTCCCTTTAGTGGTCTGATTCTTGTCATAATATTTTCCTTTATTTTTATTGATGGCGCTTATCCAATCGTGGAATTGAGATCGTGGAGGTTTGTGTGGACCTGATCATCCAAATCGTGGAATTGGGAAATTTTAAAACTGCAATGGACTGCGTAGCTTCGAAAGCTTATGAGCTTATGTTGCGAAAAGCAGCTAGATCGCGGAACAAGCGATTTTCTCTTTTCCTTTCTGTTTATTTGTCATTTTTGTTGTTGCAATTGTTTTTCTGCGTTTTCAGGCGAGTGGGGCATGTTTCAGGGGCAAACCAGGCATAAATCACGTGCTAGAAAAAAAAACCAAATACATGCATGAAAATGAAAGAGGTTCTTCAACTCGCGTTTCACTGAAACGCGAGCAGAAGAACCTCAATAGCGTTTCGGAAAGGGCATTTCTTCGCCCGAAAATAATTTCGAGGCTTTTAGAAAGGGTAGCCGGCGTTAGGTCAGCAAGTGGACGTGCACTGATCATTATTAGTTCCAGACCTCTTGCAAACCATTCGCTGGCTCTCTTTTCTCAAAGCCGTAAACTTACTCGCGGGCGAAGAAACGCTCGACCCGCTGCTCTAGTAATAAGGAGCTGCTCGCAGGCTCAGCTTAAAAGTTCGAATGATCCATTGCTTCTAAAAAGGAAAGCTTAAAGACCTGTCATTATTTATCGCCGGGGGAAAGGGGAGGGGAAAGGGGAAGTGGTTATTTTGGGAGGAATCAAATGGTTTTTAGGGGGAAACGGAGGAGGGATCAGTCAAGTCGTCGCCAACAGATTAATCGTTTCAAATACGAGGGCTTTTTTTTGCATGCGTTTGAAACAATCCTCTTGGTCTCTCGCATGCAATAATATAGCCAAAAACTTTTGAAGTATCGATAACTGATCGAGAAAACCTCTAAAGAAAACATTTCGCATTACTTTTTGTTTTATTTTATACAGCCGCTCCTTCCCAAATCTTGCCTGGATTACTTACAACGAGGGTTGACTCAGAATGGCTTCTATGTCCTCGTTGATGACCAAAGCCATCCATACATGACTTATTGTGATCTGTCATCCGAGCTGGGCTCCGCATGGACCTTAGTAATGTCTTGGCAGACTGCGAAATTCCGGGATTTGCTTAATTTCAGAACCAAAGTGTTCGCCGAAGATGCTCCAATCAACGCAGGCAGTCCAAACTGGTTTGTTTACCGTGAGACACTTGCAAGAATGAAATCCATCCGTAGTCAGTCCACACACTGGCGAGCAACGTGCGATATCAACAGTAGAGAAGTGATCGATTACGAAGATTACCTTCGGGGAAGGTTCGTAGACTTGGATATCTTTGAATGGCAAGGTGGGCAAACTTGCTTTCCCATCGACTATGTGAACATTCGCGGAAAAGCCGCGGGCACTGGCACCACTATGGCATTCTGGCAAAGTCCTGGTTCGTATATCCTCCACACAGACAGCCAAAATACCACATGTGAATTTTTTTATAAAGCGGATCCACTTGTGGACTTTTTTGGTTACTACGGAGACGGAATAAGCAGTGAATTCCGCTGCAGCGCAACGCCTGATGCCACAACTCAGTGGTGGTTTGGTGGTTATCTCTCAAAAGAGCGATTTTTTCAAAACAATTCTCAACCGGTGGGCGCATAAAAAAGGTTTAATCCAGTGAAACGTCGTAAGATCCGATAGCGAATTCTTTCTTTCGGCTTCCATACATTTCATTAGTAACAAATTATTAGAATATGGTGTAATATTCCAAGAACACCATTTAGCAGATGATGTTTGTTGTTTCTCGTGATCCATTATATGTGCTAAACTACGAGCATTTCCTCCTTTTCGGCGAAGTCTGACGGGGGAGTAAAAAAATCAGTGCTAAAAAAGAAATTGATGACAGCACGCCACGCGGAGCTCTGGATGTACGGCGTCAAAAAATGACATCAACTTTCCATGCACCTCAACCCAGAGTTCTGTGCGGCGCGATAACATCACTGACATTTTTTATAACTCGCGCGACGGACTTCGCCAAAAATTGTGGACTGTTCGTAGTCTACCTATTTTCAAGTTAATATATTAGAATTTTAAGACGAAGTTAATTGCATGTTTCGCTTGAGGATTTTTACAGTGATTTGGCTCACAGTATTACTGATGGGAAATAGAGTTTCGAGGTGGATAACAGAGCTGGCAATAACCAGGTCATTTTGCAAATTTTCATTTATTCCGAGCTTTTTTTTTTAACTCAAGTAGCTTAGCACAAGTCTTTTAGTCATCGCTGTCAGCCAAGAAACGAATGAGGTCGATTTTAGAAGAGATTTTATGACCTGATAAACGTCAGACCGATTTTTCTGTTAAGTAACCTGATGTGATTAATAAGTTTCTCTGTTTTTTTTATTCCTTTTGCACTTTTAAGTTGCTGTGTTCATGTATTCAATTTTCCTCACGAGCAACTAACTTGTGAGTGAATAAAGAGGGCAATTTTCTAAAGAAACTGTGGTAATGCGTCGGTACTGTTTCCTTTTTGTTATTTTCACTATTTGGTATAACGGTCAACAACTGAATCATCCAATGGAAATAAAAGTAGTCAGTAAGACTACACATTACTTTTTCTCCATATATTAGACAAATATTCGCTTGTTGATTACAACTGGGTCATATCTTGCACATTGGCAGAGCGTCATTGTGACAAAAGATTTTAATTGCTTTCGTATATGTAAAAAAATCTTGCCAAAAATATCTGTCGAAAATTAAAGGATTCTTGAAGAGGACGCCTTATTTCATTATCCATCTGAAGCAAAGACTAAAAAGGGTCTTTTGCCTGGAAGGGCTTCATATATCTCGTACTGAGGTTTTGTTACAATAATGAAGCAAAACCAAAAACCAAAAATAGATACAGGAAGTTTTCTCGAGACTAAACTTTCAAACCTTTTGCTCGTGCTTCAGTTTAAGCTAATTTGTTGTTTCAGAATCGAAAAAAAATTTGAAAGCTTACGAGTTAAAAATTTTCGTTCACAGCACCAAAGAGCGGAAGCAGCGATAACGTACGTGGCATCAATTTTCAACCTTAATGAAAAGCTATCTTACTATCTATAACAATTGAGAGGTCAGAAAATTTTCTCATTTGCAAGTCATCGCTGAACAACAGTTGATACTTTTGTTTCGTAATAAATAAAGGATTGGTCAACAAACTAACACTTCATGCTATCTTGAGAAAAATGCAACAAATGGCAAACATTTTGTCTCTAAGGGTTAGCAATGATAAGCCCCGAATTCAATAAAATTCCACTAAGGTGGTTTTGGTTTATAAAAATTGCAGGGAATGTTTTAGAGATAATCATCAACTTATCAGTCCAACTTCCTACACTGGACACTTCCCGTATGCTTTCACGACCTTAATGTCTCCGCCGCAATTTTCGTCGGTAAAACTGTGTGTAGTATATGTCGGGCTGCCTGTGAGAAATATTATTTATATATATATATAACAACTTTATTTAAATAATAACATATAACATATTATTATTAAAAAAGGGTTATAGAAGGGAGGAACTTAATCCTCATTGTAAACTATACCCCAGATATAAAAATTTAATACTATGCAATATACATATACATACTGAAACATTTTACATACAGGCATATATCTATATAAATATAAAATCTAAATAAAGAAGACATATCTAAGATAACTATTTTGTTTAAAATTATAACTAAATAATATATAATACATAGAATAATTTAATTTTTAGTCATAGGCCTAGTTAAAAAATGTTGATTTAAGAGCTTTCTTAAAAGCATTAATTGAGTCAAGTTCAACTACTGATGACGGTAAACTGTTCCATGTGTCGATATGTCTGTGCCAAAAAGAGTACTTAAAGATGTCTGTACGGCAAAATGGTTTATATAGTTTAAACTGATGACTTTTCTTGATTGCCTGTTACTGAAGGATATGTAATTATTAGTGTTTACAGAAGAGTGTCCTTTAATGAACTTAAAAAGCTGAACCAAACTAAGAAACTCTCTGCGCTGAACTAGTGTCGCTAGTTTCAAGGATTTCAGTCGGTCTTCATACGGAGTGTCTTTATCAATGATCCATCTTGTAACGTTCCTTTGCACGCATTCAAGTTTTTCAATCAGATATGCTTGGTGAGGATTCCACGCTTGACAAGCGTACTCGAGTATTGGACGGATCATGGATCTATAACCAGTAAATAGAGCCCTAGAGTGAGATCCAAATGTCCGCTTGAGTAAGCCCAATAATCCGTTCGATCTTGCAACAACAGACAGTACGTGGGGTTTCCAAGATAAATCACTGGAAAGAACCACCCCAAGATGTTTGTGTGTAGATACTTGGGTAAGTAGCTTGCTATTAATAGTATAGTTGCATGGAGAGGGAGTTCTAGCCCTGGTGAACTTCATGGACTCGCATTTGTCAGCATTTGTTCCTAAAAGCCACGAGCCACACCAATCAGTGACTTTATCTAGACTCTCCTGGGAAGTGATGGACGTCTGAGATGGAGTACAGTAATTATAGATTAACATATCATCAGCAAACATTTCTGCAGGACTTGATAAAGATTCAGGGATGTCATTGACGTATAGGATAAATAACAGGGGGGCAAGAATGCTCCCCTGTGGAACACCAGATGTAACAGGCGCCCAGTCAGATTGGCAGCCCTCGATTACAACACGTTGAGATCGACCTTGGAGAAAATTGGATAGCCAGGAAAGTAGAGAGCCGGTAATGCCAAAGCGTTCTAGTTTGAGTAGAAGACGGTCGTGAGGAACTGAGTCGAAGGCCTTTTCGAAGTCCAGAAATATTACATCGGTAGAGAGGCGTTTATCTAGTGCTTTGGCCCATTCATGGAAAAGGTGTATCAACTGAGAGGTACAGGAGTATCCAGGGCGAAAGCCATATTGATGACTACTAAGTAGATTATTTGATTCAATAAATCCAAAAATGCGATTGTATATCAGTCTTTCCAGGGTCTTTACAATCAGACTCGTAAGAGAGATAGGACGATAATTCTTGACTAGATCTTTTTGGCCCTTTTTGAAAATTGGAATGACGTGAGTAGATTTCCATTCCACAGGCAAGGTGCCAGATTGGAGTGAAAAGTTAAATAAATTTGTCATGGACTCTGATATAGCTGGTGCAGCCTCGCGAAGCATACGCGCTGATATCCCATCCGGACCATGAGCTTTTGTAACGTTTAAACCAATGAGCAATTTCTCGACCTCAGATTTAGAGCAAAGTAGACTTGAGATGACTTGATCAGTAAAAGGTTGAAGATCGTCACGTAACTTCTCAGGAATACCAGGACTCTCTATAAAAACCGATGAGAAGAAGTTGTTGAATAGCTGTGCTTTATCGAAGCTGTTTGAAGCCTTTTGGTTCTCCAGGGATACTTCAGGTGGAATAGATCGTGATTTCGTCTTAGATTTTATGAAAGTCCAGAAACGTTTAGGATTGTTACTGTTTTGAAGAGACTGAACATGGTGCCAATAGCTCTTGTTTATTTCAGATTTGACCTTGTTTCTACACTGCCTATATTTTTCCCAGTCAGATTGAAGTTGAGATGATTTAGCTTTTTTCCATAAGCGTTTCCGTTTGTGAAAAAGGCGACGAATTGCAGATGTTAACCAAGGAACATTTCTTTTTCTTTTCAAATGATGTGTATTGATGTTTTTATTAACAGCAGCAAAGAACAATTCTTTCCATTTAGTCCACATTTGATCAACATTGTTCTCTAAGAATACATTACCCCATGGAGCATTGGAAAGATGAGAGCGAAAACCTTCCCAATTTGCATTTTTGTAATCGTAAACGATCTTTGGAGCTTGATGTGGACGGGAAATAAAGACATTAAAGTCGAAACAAACAACGTTATGATCTGAATTTCCAAGGCCACAGTCTATCTCAACATTAGCCAAATGAGCAGGAGTGTTGGTTAAGATTAAATCCAATAAAGCGTCTCCTCTGGTAGGTTTATTCACAAGTTGTGAGAGGCCAAAACGATTAATAACAGAGTCGCAAAAGAAATCGCTGATAGTGTCCGGCTGCCATGGAGCTACAAGGTTCCAGTTAACATTAGGTAGATTAAAAAGTGTGCACGTGAAAACGACTGAGAGGTATCTTTCTTTTGAATGCAGCTTGAAAGAATGTTACACTGTGTATACGACCTGAGTATGTCAATGCCGGCAGTACTTCGTGTGTACTTGCATGCATGGAATATGTTTAATAGCGAAGCTCGCAGCGTGCGCAGCATAGCCCCAAATTATACGAAATAGTTGTAACCCATCAAGCCTAAAAAATTTGGACTTGACACCGTGCGACCGACCTTACAACGCGCTACTATTAACATGCGCGGCCAACTGTATAACGGGCACTATCTTAGCCATTACGTAATGGAAGGGTGAGGGAAAAAGTAATGCGCAGGCACGATTGCCTACGTAACTCGGATACCCCATTAGTGTGTGCCTAGAGATACCGCCAGACGATAATGAAGTGCTCATACTCGAGTGTCGAGCCTCAGTGCAGCCTACCACGGGCACACGGTTAGGCATTGCACGAGAGCTTCACGTGGGCTATTAGATGTGAAGCCGCGTAAGCAAATAATTGGCAACCTGCGTTTTGAGCGGGAAAATTTATATAGCAATATATATGGCGTAAAATATAGCAATGTATTTAGCAATTTCTAATCAACTCGGTTTGCTAAGGGAATTACTCCACAGCAACGAAACTCTAGAGCACTGACCAAGAGGAACTTTCGCCGCACTTAGTGCGAAGGCATAAGATGTTATGGCAACAGAAACGAACACAGCTACCCACTCTTAACATAGATTTCGCCATAGAAAACAAACACAAAAGCAACAAACTAAACATTTAATAACGGGAGTTTTTGTTCTAATCTTGACCTGAAAACTGCAGGCGAGAAACTTCGTAGGGCTGAACCGTACTCGCAACTTCCATTTCTTCTTTGCTACTTGAGTACGATGTATCACAACTCTCGGTAGAATTTGCTGAAGGTAGGGTATACGTCGCTATCAGTCATAATTTCAAGAGTATTTCAACGCTGATTGATACAAAATTACAAGAAATGTGAGAGATTTGTAAGTGTTAACTGAGAGTTTTCACAGTTTTTACGTGTCACCCGCTAATTCGTTACCAGTCCACGGGACACTTTTAAGACAAAATAAGAGTACTTTAGGGCCCGAAAAAACCGAGTTTTAAGTTTTTTGAAATGTTTCTACTATCGGAATTGGTTTGTACACATGATAAGCTAAATATTTACGCAAAAAAAATTTCGTGTCATAGGCACTTTAAAAAAATCGGGCTTTGCCGAAGATGTGTTGTTTTATCCATGGAACGAAGTAATGGCATTTCCCAAAATTGAAATGAAATGAGGTTGAGTCAGCGATGTTCATGTTCACATTGAGTCTGACGCGGTAATTTGATTTTGACAATATTGTCATGTGAGAACCCGTCAAACATCTGTGAAATGAATTACGGACTGCCAATGTATGGTGTAAACAAACTTATGGGTAAAATGGAGTTAGTCCTACTGCGGGATGAATGGATTTCATTGTTTAGTCATGGTACTTTTCAGCGCTATGTTTTCGTGCTTTCTACTCGATTCGTTCGAACTTCAGGAAATAGTTTGTCTCAAAAAACATTGAGCCATTTTCTCTTCGCTCAACATCTCGAGGCAAACTTATTGCTTTGGTTATGATGTAACAGTATATACATTACTGACTAGAAGAAAGTACGCCGCTGGTTACTGGCGTAAAATCTTACATATATACATCACCGAGTAGAAGAAATTACGCCGTTAGTTACTGGCGTAAAATCTTTCAGTATACACAATACCGACTGGAAGAAATTACGCCCTCAGTTACTAGCGTAAAATCTTACATATAAACAATACCGACTGGAAGAAATTACGCCCTTAGTTACTGGCGTAAAATCTTACAGTATGTAAATAGCGGGAGTGTTTATTCTTTTTTTCTATTATTTTTTAGCGAGGCCACCTTAGTAAGTGGCGCGACAGATTTTTAGTCAAGCTTGAAAGTGATAAGGTATGGACAGCTTCTACGGGCATTGCGTTTGTAACAACTTTCTCACTGTAGAGTAGTACATGTGCTCATACGATAACCTGAGAAATTTATTACAGCCCAGTTTGAATTCGAATGTCTTGTCTTGCTTTTTTTCTGTGTGTATGTGTGCGTGTGTTAGGATGTGTTTTCATTTCAGTTCGTAATTTCAAGACCAGTCATTACCCATATTATGAGGGTCTCCAATGAGGGTTCTGCAATCCCGCGATCCCGACTAAAATTTTCTCTCAATCCCGTAGTCCGACGGTTTATACTGGCCAATCCCGATGATGTGAGGGTGATGATTTTCTTAACAAGCATTGATCCGTTGAAGTCTATTGTCACCGTAAGGCGTAAGTTTATCTCTTTTCACCAAAATGATGATATTGTTAATTTTAGAAGTTTTCAAAGTTTTGCACTAATAACCACGGTAACTAATAATCACGGTAACGACTTCCTTTCATTAAACTTACAAACGTATATAGGTACAGGCAGGTCAGTATCAAAGAAAGGAATAACAATTTTAACAAATGCATAAAACACAATGGGTCACGGCAATCCCATAGTTCCATAACAACGAGGATAAAGAAAAATTAACGGAACACAATTCTGCTTTTGAAACAAATACTTCTTCCGAAGCGGAAACCTCTTCCGAGGTAAAAATCAGCCTTTCGTTTCAAAGATGGAATGTCATCATCATCATTCGGGGAATCGTACTCTAATATTCCATCTTCCTATTCGTCTTGTTTCCCGCTGTTTTCTTGCTGCTCCTCGAAGTCAGAGCGTTCGAGGCTGACTGGTTCGACCGGCTGAATTTCTCTCTTATAGAGGTACGACGGGAAGTTCCAGCTCTTGCCATCGTTGTTTCCTGTCTGACAGAGAGCTAACGCACAACAAATGTTTACGCCCAGTCCCTCATCTTCTGGATGCTCTGTGGTGCTATCGGCACAGGTGTGGCCGACGGGATCCTGGCACGTTCAGGCACAGGATACATAGAATTTGGATTTGTTAAATAGTACGCCACCTAATGGGTTGTCCTCATTAACCCTTCTTAGGCTACATTTCCAAAGTTTCTTGGGTAGTCTAACACCGTGAAATGTTTATCTTTGTGATGCACAACCGAGCGAATATTCTTCACATCTTGTGTCATGTAACTCAACAGGTTAAGAACATCATATCGGTATCATCCTGAGACTTGCTGGAGGTTTTTCAATGCCGTTAAGCATTTCAATTGACGTAACAGTCGTAGACCACGCTACCCTGTGGGACATTGAGGATTTTTGATAAATTGGCAACTTCGCTTCTAATATAATTTTCATTCCCGTGCAATAACTGAAGAGTGTCGCTGAGCAGCCCGACCGCCTCTTGAATGCTAGGAAACGGTATGCTTGATGCTTTTCATGACTGAGAAGATCAATTTCTTCATAAATTCTCGTCAACGGAAATCCCGGTTCTCGGTTCGTTTAAGCGATCATTTCCCGAATCCCGCTCATCAAAATCGCCAATCCCGTGTCCCGTTCTTAACAGCAATCCCGTATCTCGTTCCCTTCTTACTTTAAATTCCCGGATCCCGAAAAACCTATAGGAGACCCTCATATTATCCCTTGCCATGTAAATTTAGACATAATGCACTATCAGACATTTCACATTTAAGACACTATATTTATAAATTTTAAGATTTTGGACAGCGCCGTGAAAGTGGTAATGAATTTCACCCACGTCACTGTCCTCTTTGTATTCTTTTCTTTCCCGACGTCTAAGTCTTCGGCATTGAGCCCGAATATGGCCTAAGGCCCCACAGTTGTAACATTTCTCTACAAGGTAATTACGACTTTTGTTATAACAATAACAGTAAAAACCACGTGGCCCTTCGCGCGAAATCATGAAAATTACATAGTATCTACGGTTGAATAACAGTTGTGCCTTTTGCAGCGAAATTAGAATGATTGCCATTTCATTAAGAGAGAGTCACTAATATCTCCATGCGGCCATGTAATATCCCCTTTCATTAAACGAATAGCAGTGAATTACTGGAAGACCTCCCGCAAAAATGTGAGATGTGTAACATATTTTTACATGTGAATGCCGACGCTATGGTTACAAAGTAAATAGTACGCAAATGAAATGGTTCGGTGTTTCCTTTAAGTTTTCCTTTCTGTTTGTCCGTTTGTATGAAATTAATTATAATTTAGGGGAAAACAATAATTATTTCGATCGCTGCTCGCACTCCTGAGTTATATTCAACACTCGAAGGGATATTTCGTATTTTAACGCCCCGTGCTATATCATGTATTTTAAATTTAAAAAATAGTCAAATTGGATTTTACGCCAGTAACTAACGGCGTAATTTCTTCCAGTCGGTAATGTATATACTGTAAGATTTTACGCCAGTAACTGACGGCGTAATTTCTTCCAGTCGGCGATGTATACACTGTAAGATTTTACGCCAGTAACTAACGGCGCAATTTCTTGCAGTCGGTACTGCACATACTGTAAGAATTTACGCCAGTAACTAACGGCGTAATTTCTTCCAGTCGGTAGTGTTTATATGTAAGATTTTACGCCTGTAACTAACGGCGTAAATTTTTCCAGTCGGTAGTCATATGTAAGATTTTTCGCCAGTAACTAACGGCGTAATTTCTTCCAGTCGGTGATATAGATACTGTAAGATTTAACGCTAGTAACTAACGACGTAATTTCTTCCAGTCGGTGATATATATACTGTAAGATTTAACGCCAGTAACTAACGGCGTAATTTCTTCCAGTTGGTATTATATATTTATACTGCAAGATTTTACGCCGGTAACTAACGGCGTTATTTCTTCCAGTCGGTCATATATATACTGTAGGATTTTACGCCGGTAACTAACGGCGTAATTTCTTCTAGTCAGTGATATATGTACTGTAAGATTTTATGCCAGTAACTAACGGCGTAACTTCTTCCAGTCGGCAGGGCCGTACCTAGGATATTTTGTCCGCGGGGGCAAACTCCGCACATCTCACAGGGGTCTCCCGTATACAGACAGGGTTTCTAGTTGGACGTTTCGTTTTCACCCCTATACAGAAGGTTGCCTCTAAGACCTTTAAGGAAACAAACTACACTGATGCTTTTTGTTTTAAATTGTCATAATTTGTTATGGCATAAACACCTTGTTTAGTTTGAAATTGCCCCCGAGGTCTCTACTACACAATGATGATTTACATACCATCTTTAACTCAAGGTATATTGTGAACAGTAGCTTAAAACTTTGTATGGATGACTTCAAAAATGCGTTGAAAGCCTTCGTTAGTTTGAACAGAGATTGGCTTGAAGGAACTGAGCTAAAATTGCAGGTTTCGCTATCAGAATACCAAGTCTCAAAAACGAGTCTATATGGAAAGATGGACAGCACCTTGTGAACGCCGGGAAATTCTTGCAGACTGCAATAAGGCATTGCTCCCTCTTGTTCTGACTCTGGCTCCATCGCCTGTTTCATCCACCACCTTGCCAGCTCTGCGTCAAAATCAGACTTCTCCGAGAAATCTAGATGCTTGCTGAAGTAGTTTTTGATCTTCTCGATATGCCTGTCAGTTAACTTGGGCAAACAGGTTTTGAGTGGTAATCAGGGCTACGTGCTGGATTGAAAATTTCGTTTCAAGTTCACCGACAACGTGATCTATAAATGAATAGAACACATTAGTCCTGTGGTGGTCTGATGGCTGATCGTTGTGTGCGGCGTTTGCTCAATGGCGTTGAACAGTCGTTGTACGAGGCTTTCCCAGGGTGACGTTGATAGAGTCAGCTACCTGGCTGATTCGACTCCACACCTTCTGTCAGGATTTCTCTCCTCTTGCTGATTTAATGCATTATATTTGGCCAGAGTTACGCTTTGGTATGCATCGCCAAGGTTACAGCTCTTAGCTTGTAGGGACTTTGTTACTTGGGCTAAAAATGACAGAACAAACTGAGATACTGTCAAAGCGACTATGAATTCAGAGTCTTGGAGAAGACGTGAATAAGCTGAAGCATGACGTTTAGCATCACCACTGCTTGACGACGAAATTTCATCCAGAGCTAGAAGCACAGACCCATATTTAGCAAGAAGAGCAGATAGGGTAGTAACTTTTGCACTCCAACAAGAAGCACAGAATTTCGGTACAGTCTGTCGCTTGCTTCCCTCTTCCAATGTTTTGGCAGATTCATCTTCGTCTTCAGCAGCACATGCAGCTAGAGCGCTCAACAGCTCGCTGTCATCGGTGGCCGCGGCAGTCCGAAGAAATATTTCTTTCGTTTTGGCGCTGCCATTAAAAAAACCACGTAAGTTTGCTGACGTTATCAAACAGATTCTGAATGGATTGCACAGCTTTGCAACCACACGAGATTGCAAGATTCAAAACGTAAGACCTGCAGTAAACGTACGTGGCATTAGGGTACTTCTCTGCAACTTTAGCTTGCACCCCATTCCTACTTACCGCGGCAGTCCGAAGAAATATTTCTTTGGTTTTGGCGCCAACATTAAGAAACCAAGTAAGTTTTCTGACGTTATCAAACAGATTCTGAATGGATCGCACAGCTTTGTAACCACTTGAGATTACAAGATTCAAAACGTGGGACCTGCAGTGAACGTACGTGGCATTAGGGTACTTCTCTGCAACTTTAACTCGCATCCCATTCCTACTTGAACTCATGACGCTTGCTCCTTCATATCCTTGGCCAACCAGGCCGGAAAAAAAGCCTCATTCTTGTAATGCGTGTAACAAGGAATCCGCAATGGTCTGGGCATCCAATTTTTCAAGCCTTACGAATCCAATAAATTCTTCACAGAGGGGGGGCATTGGGATTTTCGGTTTTGCGGTTTGGCCACTTTTTAGATCGGTTTTTCGGTCTTTGTGCCAAAAAACTTCGGTTTTTCGGTTTTGGTGTTCATTGCGGTTTGCGGATTTTCCGTTTTTTAGCATTTGGTTTTCGGTTTTCGCGAAAAATACTAATGGGTTTTCGGTTTTTCCTATTTGACCTATTTGGGTTCCGGTTTCTCTTCGATCTGAGCGGCAATTACGCGCCTCCACTGATCTCGAATAGCCGCTAAACGCAAATATTATCGAGAGGAATGGGTGACAAACCAATTAAAATATCGCAGAGATCCCTAGGTAGCCTACGTGTAGCCATACCCACCCCCTCCCCCAAGGTGGGGGGAGGGGAGGGTACGGCTACACGCAGGGTACGGCTATGCACGGAACATTGCCAGAGTTTCTTTATCAACGCCACTTCGAAGTTGGTGACCAAGTTACAGGCCACTTTTGACTGATTGATTTAACATTCCAATAGAATCTCCAAACTTTCAGGTCTTAGTTCACAAATGGAAATGTTAGAGTAGGGATTTTCGATTAAACTTTCCAGAACTATAGCTTTTTGCGACTGCAAAACTGCAATTCTATTGAGGACTTTTGTGCGAATTTCCTTAATTTAACTAGGCTCCATTACCAGCTGCTGAGTCCGCAGAGACCACGCTCGAGGTCCTCGAGAGAACAGCTGTCAATTTAAGCAGATACTAGAAGATACGAATGCCAAGTCCATGGCATTCATAAATCCTGTAATGAAATTAGTGTAGTTTACTCTGTATGTTCCACTTGTCACCACTGTATCGGATCGATCAGGGTTTTAATAACTAGGATGTGAAAATGTATCGGTTTTGACAGTTTTGCATGCAGTTTTCGGTTTTTCCTACGGTTTTACAGTTTCCAATAGGCCCCAATGCCCCTCTCTTCACAGACTTCATCTTCACTGCTGAGATATCGCACACATATACTGAGTTGTTCAGTGTAGAACAATCTTGCGTTTCGCTGGCCACAACACTCCAATACTTTGGTATTGATGCTCGGACACAGTTTCTAGTGAAACTGTCGCACAAATTGATTATTTCGTTCTGAATCCTCGGAGACGTGTACTCAGCACTACCGGAAGCATGATCCAAATGGTCTTTGAGTTCTGGATCATATTTGGATTTCTAGTCAACAAAGAAGGAGAAATTCCTATCTTCATTTCTTTTAGAGGGATCCCAATTGTCTCTTAATGGAATGCTCCGCTGTCCCAATGCAATGACTTCATCAATAATAGACAGGACGCCCTTCATTGTCCAACGCTGTAGCTCGGCTGCCTGTCTATGTAGTCTTGCACTGATGTCACTGCCTGGGCGGCGTGTCTTTAGGAAGTTAGTCATCTTTTCTTCTGAAAGTTGGTGTACTTCACTGCGCGCATGGGCGTCAAGGTGCTCATCACTTGTTTTCTTCCAGTTTTTGAAGCCCTTTGACATAAATGGCGATTCACTTGGACCAGTATTGTTGGAAGAACATATACAACAGATATAGTGAACTGTGTCATTTCTAATGCAGTAATGCAGCCACAGCCGCATCTCCATCCATGATAATTGGAAACGCCTTCAGGCTGTTGTCGGAAACTTGAATCCTTGCGGAAACCTAAACTTTACGGTTAGAAGCTCAAGCTTTTGGTCGTCTGATAAAGTTTTACCAGTATAATTCGCTGGGTCATTGGGATCTCTACCACATGGACTTGGGTCTTCAAATAAATCAATAAAATAAACGCGTGCTGCGACTGACTGTTTATGAAAAACAAGAGCTATCATATATATGTATATATTTTTCTTAACAATTTTATTGTTCAGCTATTACTACTCCATTTCTTATAGAACCTATTACACATGAGTCTTTATTTACTCTACTTCATCATCAAACAAAAATCCCGGGAGGTTTACTCGTTCGGCGTGATCTAACAGATCCTTCCCAAACTCTACATCTTTAAAATCTTGTACAAATTCTTCCCACATTCTTAGGAGGCCCCCAGCATGGTGAAAATGAAAACGCCTGAAGTTTGCACTGCTGCAAAACATCGCGGGCTTGTTCTACTGTTATTGAGCCACACCAATTGGCAACTACGTTCCTTACGTCAGGCAGACTCCTGATTTTGGAAACGAGTGAATTTCCTTCTATCTGAAGACAATTCCCCATTTTTAAACCTACGGCCCTCTTTTGTTTTTAAGGGATAAGGTTAAACTACTTTCCTTCACATTTTGGCAGCTGCTATGTCACTGTATCTTAAAAATGGCATGCTTTGTATAAAATACAAAGTGAAAATTGACGTATTGTACGCCAGGTCTAAGTGGACAAGGTTGACACAATCGTTCAGAACATTTTCAATAAGATTTCTGCAGCCTAATTGTCGTTGATAATAACGGACAATAATGAAAACCGAAATGTGTTATATGTTTAGCGTGCTCAAAAACAGAATGAAATGAAGAAAGAGCAAATTCTGAACAAGTGTCAATTATCTTCAAAAACTTTGGTGTATGGACGGCTTGGTGAAAGAGTTTGCACACTGGTGCCAGTTGCTGAAGTCGTTCCTCTATTGAAAGCCACTTAAAAATTTCCACCAGAACTTCGATGGGCCAGGGGTTTTTTTTTATCACGATTCCACCTAGAAGGAAAATTCTTATAAAAGAAAATTAAAAGCTACGTAACCATCACAAGAAGATTCTGCAACTTTGCTCCTTCAGTCAATCATATCAATAAGCCCTCCAAACCTCAGAGTACCGTTGAGTAATGACGCTATCTTGCACAACACTGCCGATGGTTTGCGGAAATCGAATCAAAAATTCAAATAATAATTTCTTTCAATTGTATTAAACGTACCTTCCGTGCTAGTCGATTCCTCACTTGTTTAGTTTTCATCATTGTTCTCATCGTTGTTCTCATCATTGGAGCTATCGTATTTTGAAAAACCAAGCTTAATTTCATAAATTATTTAATCACTGGACGGTTAAATTGCCATGTTGTTTTGTCCAATCTATGGAACTGTGTAATGGCTCACCGATTTTCATACTACAACAAGCTAAGAATGAACACAACAACCAAGGCAACTATTAGATGCATTAAATAATACACGTTGTAGTTTGATACTTACTTTTTTTGGCGTCAAAGAAGTCCATTATACCTCGTTAAGCGGGAGCCGGGCGCTTTCTTCCCGATATTTTCCCGGCGGATGAGAGAGAAACGTTCTGCAAACGTTGGCAAGAAACACGCGTCAACTGTTTCCCGCCAAACTCTAAACCACAGACAGCCCAATTACATAATCATTATTTTCATCAGAAAACTCGTACTGGCTTTTGCCTCGAAAGATTTTCCAAAATAATTATTTGGAATTTACATTGAAGGAAGATTTTTCAGTTAATTAGTCGGCTTTCTTGAGATTTCGGACCAATATGGCTACAAGACAAGGCCCAACAACCTCAAACACAATGTTACAAAAAAAAATAACATTCAGTTTTCCTGGCGGGGGCAACTGCCCCCCTCCCCTCCCCTCCCCTTCCCCCCCCCCCCATGTGTATGTGGATGTTGCTCTTTGTTGATCTTTGTAGCCAAAAAAGCTACCAAAGGCACTAAACTTCAATTTTTATGCACACAAGGAACCTGCCAAGGTCGAAGAGTAGAAGACCCCTGCAAACTGAATTCCCAGTTTTCTGGGAATTCCTAGGAAATTCTCAAAAATTCCCAACTGTGCAGATAAGCTTTGATTTGAAAAGCTTGGAATTACTGGGAATTTCTGGGAGAGGAAGACTTCAGTTTTGTGAAGACTTGGAATTCCTAGGAATTCTCAGCAATACAAACTACCTATTATTTAAGAAGGGTGGAATTCTTGGGAATTTCTGGGAATTAAATTTGAGGCAATTTAAATACCCTGAGGTCCACATAAATTCCAAGAAATTCTCAATACCTTGAATGTGAAGGTTTTAAGAAAAGGAGTAATTTAGAGTAATTAGAGGCTTAAAACTTTGGCTCAATAAAAGGTATGCTATACAAAATTTACCAAGAGATATTTATACATGTATATGTTTATAACTTAGAGATTATGAAATTTATTATTCAAACTAAGTTTTAGTAAATCTCTACATTAATATGGATTTTCTCACAAAGCAGCAGTCAATTATGTTAAATGCAAATTGCCAATTAATCCAATGTACTCATATCACAGATTTGCTTTCTAACCTTAAAGGACTCTTGGATTCCATGATCATAAAAGTTTTTATTGTGATGCAAAATGTATCATGTTCACAAATGTGCCAAAATCATTACACATTCATCAGCTGTTCCTTGGTACACAATTTCCAAATGTGTAACAATAATTACATTGTTATCTAGACTTAAAGAACTTTGCTAGTTATGAACATAAGTTGCTTCCCTAACCTACATTACTGGTTGCCTTTGTTAGAAAACCTTGGAACAGTCAAGCTCAGTTGCCTCAAACACTGTCAGAGACTTTTTGTTCACATTATTTTTAGTAGAAATTTCATGCCTAAGACAAACAAATTCAACCCCTAGTTAGTCTTTCTTTTTTCATGATTGTTGTTGCTGTTTTTTTTTTTTCAGTTTTTTGCTCTGTTTTCGTGACTGATTGCTGTAATTTGTTTTGCTGTTTTCATTCTTACCAAACATTTTTGTAAGAGTTCCAATACTTGTGGATCATCCACACACTTCACAGACATTTGGCATGCAGACAAGACAGAGGTAGTAACTGTTCCCTTTGAGAAAAAACACCTTTTAAATGACTTCTTCAATTTACTTTATTTGAAACTCTGATTTGAAAGTATTCTTAAAACAAGACTTGTTAGTAGTGAGAAGTACAAACCGAGTTTCCTTTCATAACTTAATTTCTTAAATGTCCCAATCAATGGAACTCCCTAAACATATTACTTCTTTTTATTTTTGGTGCAAAATACAAGTTCTTCTTAATATACAAATGAAAAGTGCTAGTCACACTTCAATAATAACAGCTCTAAAGTTTACTTGTTGTTCTCCTCTGTCTGTCAGCTATCAACAAAATTGTTTTATACTTCGGACAGTGCATAACCATTTGTGGACCAGAGTTCCAACGCACCTCTGTAATCGCATATAGTTGCTTCTGTCTCTTGTACAAATGTTTCTCCTTTATGAGACGCACTCTACTCGGTTGACACCACTGCTTTAAGTTCAGTGGAAACGGCAGACTGAGGAATCGAGATGGCGGTATTGGAACGTGTTGCTGAACGCTTGTTACGGTCAAGCTTTGTAGATTTAGGTACTGGTACACTGGGATCATCTATGTTTCTTTTATGCTTCTTAATGTGGTATCCTTCTTTTATAAAAATGAGGGTAAAAGACGATTTGTAATCGCATTCAAAATTGTGATTGGCTTGTGTTATTTTGCCATGAACACAACTCAAGTGGGTTTTGAGTCTTTGTTTCCTCGACAAATTTCAGCCACAAATTGTGCATTTGTAATACGATCGATTCTTGTCGATTATTTCTACATAGAGTGAGCTCATATCATTATTTATATCACCGTCAGAACATGGCTCCAAGGTATCCATCGTCCACAATCAGAGAACTGGTTGTAGAAGTCAGAATAAAGTTGTGCGCTTCTCTTGACACTACAATCGGGCAAGTCAGCGGATTCACTTTGCTAGCCAATGACAAGTCCTAAGAGATCCACGTGATCATGCCCGTGATGGGAAACAAAGAAGACTCCATTTGGCGGTCGTCTTTGAGTGTACTTTTCATCGGTTGATCGCGTGTGTGTTAAGTTAGTTCTTTTCTAAACTGTTTTGCCTAATATAACATTTCTAAAGATAGGTTTTATTATGGTTCAATGGGAAAACGAGAACAGCGTGAGTGTTGTAAGTGAAAAGAAAGTCGTTAGCGCCGTGGAGTTAAAAGAAGGGACAACAGTTGTCATATTTGTGAATGAAAGTGATCCTCGCAGTAATTTGCACTACTTAGGCAGTAGTGAAAATAAGGCCTGAAAAAAATTCAGGCCTGTACGGGATTTGAACCCATGACCTCTGCGATACCGGTGCAGCGCTCTACCAACTGAGCTAACAAGCCAACTGGGAGCTGGTCATGAAGTTGGTTCTAAATAAACCCGTGAAGTGATGAACAAATGGTTAAGAATATATGAAAGTCATATATTTGATTTACAGTCATATATTTGATTTACAGTTCAAATATATGACTTTCATATATTCTTAACCATTTGTTCATCACTTCACGGGTTTATTTAGAACCAACTTCATGACCAGCTCCCAGTTGGCTTGTTAGCTCAGTTGGTAGAGCGCTGCACCGGTATCGCAGAGGTCATGGGTTCAAATCCCGTACAGGCCTGAATTTTTTTCAGGCCTTATTTTCACTACTGCCTAAGTAGTGCAAATTACTGCGAGGATCACTTTCATTCACGTCTTTATCCGCAGTTCAAATATATGACTTTCATATATTCTTAACCAGTTGTCATATTGATTGGTACAAACAAGGGTCGAGGGGCCATTTATAAAGCTACGATTTTGAAAGTTTGTGGTGAGTAAAAATTGCGATA